TTTCAACTAGTGTTGTGCATCTTTATTCTTCTTAATATAAAAGATTTTTATTAAAAATAAAGAAAAAATGAGATCCCCCCTTCCTCTTCTTCCTCCTTCCTCCTGACCCCCTCCTCTTAAGGAGGCGTAAGCCTCCTTGTGTGTTCGGGAGGCTTATGCCTCTTATGTTCTGAACTATGCCTCATGCCTCTAGGTAGTGGAACGCCTCGCATCATGCCTGATCCAAAGAGATTGTGCTGAAAAAAAGGCTTTAATGTTTCAGACATAATGTGTTGTTTATGCAATGTGTAGGTGGAGTCCTCTGGGCATCTATTCCTTCACTGCAAGTTTAGCTCTGCAGTTTGGAGTCACTTCTGGAAGCTCTGAATCTAAGTTGGTGCATGCCAGTCTCAGTTAAAGCTCTGTTAGAGGAGTGGCATCTACCTGGGTTATCCAGGAAAAGGAAATTCTGCTGGTCTTCCATCCCTCCGGCAGTTCTATGGGCTGTATGGTTAGAAAGGAACAAAAGGATTTTTGAAAACAAAACTACTACTGAAGCCAAGGTCATTAATTCGGCTATAAAGGCTATTAGGAGTTGAATGTCTATACATTCTGAATTCAAAGACAATACTTCAATACTTCTGATTATACTTTTTTGAGGGTGTCCTTTCTTTATGTACAGCTACTCATTGTACACAGGACCTTTTATTAATACAACCATACTTTACCTTTTCTCAAAAAAAAAAAAAATCTAATCATGCCACTTGTCATTATTAAATCTGGATGACAAAAAAGTATAGACAAAGGCAAGAGTATGGAGAACTCACGGGTTGAGCTCTTGTATCCAAAATGGCTTGTGCAGTGTGAACTAGTTGACATCACCTACAACAACAAATTCATATCAAATGACCAAGGAATAATTCCAGAGAACCAAATAAGAAACTCCAACATATACTGCTCATAGAGTACTCTTTTGTGCTAGGAAGGAGAGATAACACATTGTTGCAAAGATCAGTAGAATTCAACCAAGACTTTATTCAATTTCTCTGCAGTGATCGAATTTTCATCACTATAGAATATCAACTCCAACCCTAATATCAAACTACTGACAATCACCTTAGACACAGAAACCATCACTCATGGATTTAAGTTTAACAACCATTAACCATGAATTTTGGAGTAGTGGTAGCTCCTGCACATGGGTGTGCAGTGTTGGTAGACCATCATAATTATGCCCAAACCAAATTTACCAACAAAATCATACAAAAAAAATCCTTAATTTATTAACAAGATAAATTAAAAAAAAAGAAATTTTGATTTATTAATCTGATGAAATATATTACCTCCGGAGTGGTATGAAGGAGGAGGTACACGCACTGGTAGAAGAATGTCCCTGTAGAAACCGAATTAACACGGGCCGTGTAGGATTTGAGACCTTCACAGGCAGAGTTGAACTTGTGCAGAGCATCGGCCTTGGTGAGGTGAATGGCTCCAACGACGGTGACGTGGGGTTCGAACTCTGGACCTCCGAACTCTGATCGGAGACCGTGCATTACCTTCTTTAACCTATCCCTCACGTCTTCCATCGGAAGTGCCCACACCGAATAAACATCTTTTGGTTCTTCTGAGACCCCACTGCCTACTTCCATGATAATTGATCAAAGCAACAGAGAAACCACCAGTAAACCTAGAAACCCCACAAACCTAATTAAGAAAAGGCGTCGAAACATTCACCGGAGCACAGAAACAAGGGAATGAGGCTGAGGGATTCCATGTTTATATGATTTCTGTTCCTTTTTTTTTTTTTAGATTTTTAGAGGATGACAGAAAAGCAGAGGCTTTTCTTAAGAAGAAGGAAAGGATCGAAGGAATATACGGTGAGGCGGTGAGAATTTGTAGGGTTAGATGCTGCGAACAAAGACGTGCAAAACTAGCTACGTGACCAATAACAAGTGAACACGCCAGTGTTCTGTAGACATGGGGCCCACACCATTAGAGGCATTGTCTTCCAACCTTGGTGCTTATTCAAAATCAAATTCTTCTCTGTAAAACATCTTTGGACTCTGCTTATCTTCGAAACAAAACCCTTCAATGGAAGAAAATACAGAAGACAGCGGAGGTTTCAGCGCCATGAACGACGAAACCCTAAGTGAAGTCTTCTCTCATCTCAAACCTTACTGCCTAGAGCTTCTCGAGCTTCTCCAAAACCCTAAAAAGAATGTTAAAGCGGTTTCTGAACTGGCGGAATTTCTTCGCCGAGCTCCACCTGATGCTTTACAGCCATTTCTTCAGTATGTGCTCATGGTCTTTTGCGTAACACAAGTTTGATTTGTTCCTGACTTTTCATTTTGAATAGATATTCTCCTGCTTTGGTTTCTTCTGAATACTTGGGTTACTTTCTTGTTTGTTTATAGGGGATGGTAATTGCTGTATTTGATAGAAATTGAGGTCCTTTGAAGGGTTTCATTATTTGTTGGAATACTTTGACACTTACTGCTATTTCGAATTCCTCTTCAGTGTATATATTTACGATATTTTTATCAGGAAAATTTATGTAATTTAAGTTTCACATATGCTGCTACACCGAAACCTGTTACTTACTGTAACCTGTGTGTATTGCAATTTTTTTATTTTTTCCTTAATTGAATTTTGACATTTGGGTCATTTTCTTTTATGGTTTTTGGTTTTCCCAGCTATATATTGTTCCCTTTGCTGCTTCTACTGGATGCAGCAGTCAGTTGCAGATCTGCACAAAAGGCTGATTCTGATACGAAATCACCCAATATCCCCAAAATGATGAATACTGTTAGTGATAGTGTGGCAGAGGGTGTGCTTTTGTGTCTTGAGGAGCTTCTGAAAAAATGTCATTTAGGATCAGTGAATCAGATGGTTGTTGTGCTGAAGAAATTAACATATGGAGCTATGCTTTCGCCATCTGCGGCAGCAGAAGAATTTCGAGAAGGAATAGTTAGGTCACTCAGGGCAATGCTTTTGAGACTACCACCATGCTCCATTGAGTCTTGCATCTGTAAAAGGATTCCTGGCTTGCCTGCTTCTATAGAGAGCAGTGGTTTGCAATTTCCACCTTTTATTCCTTCCAAATATCACTCAGAACCAGAAGAGTGTTTACTTGCATTTCTACAGTCTCAAAATGCCTCTTCTGCTGTTGGACACTGGCTATCACTTCTTCTCACGATTGCAGAGAATGAGGCTGTGCGAGGACATCGTGGAAGTGCAAAGCTGCGTATAGAAGCCTTTTTAACACTCCGTGTCCTTGTTTGCAAGGTTGGTACTGCAGATGCACTAGCTTTCTTTTTACCTGGTGTTGTTAGTAAATTTGCCAAGGTTTTACATGTCTCAAGGATAATGATAAGTGGTGCTGCTGGAAGTGTGGAAGCTGTTGAACAAGCACTAAGAGGTTTGGCTGAGTTCCTTATGATAGTTTTGGAGGATGAGGCAAATCTTTCTCGCTTTAATATGTCCATCAATGATATTAACGGATTCTGCGAAGACAAAGATAACTCTTCCCAGTCGCTTCTGGAGGCTCTTCGTCATTTGTGTTCTAGTGCTGAACGTCAGACGGAGACATTGACAGGAGCTTCAATTGGTCAGACAGTTGCTACTGTTAGTACCAAATTTGATTTGAAAGAGAACAGATCCCCTGATTCTTCCAATATTACGGAATCGTTTTATGTGAATCGTGTGGAAGGTTGGATCGAAGAAACTTCTGTACATGTGGATAAATTGTTATCTGCAACATTTCCTCATCTTGTTATTCATCCTTCAAAGAAGGTCAGGCGAGCTCTAATTGGTGCTATTCAAGGACTGTTGTCAAAATGCCATAACACACTTAGGAAGAGCAGGTTGATGCTTTTGGAATGTTTATGTGCCTTAGTTTGTGATGATTCAGAGGAGGTGTCTTTAGCTGCACAGGAATTCCTTGAATCTTTCTTCATCTTGGATGAGAGACATCATATGGAAGGGGAGGTTGCTGCACTTCTTAGTAGGCTTCTTGATAAACTTCCGAAAGTTGTTCTTGGAAGTGATGAAACAATTGCAGTGTCACACGCTCAGCGATTGCTTGCTTTAATCTATTATGCTGGTCCTCAGATAGTCATGGATCATTTTCTTTGTTCTCCAGTTGCAGCAGCTAGATTACTGGATGTTTTAGCACTCTGTCTAAGTCAAAATTCAGTATTTGCTGGCTCTCTTGGGAACCTTATTTCAGCAAAGACATCTTCAATTGGGTATTTGCACTCTGTTGCTGAGTTAAAACCTAGCAGGCTCCTCTGCAGTGCTGATCAGGCTATGATAATTGCTTCTCCATCTGACATTGCTCAGACCACAGGATTTCAGGGTAAAGATTTACAAAGTTCACAAGAAATTGTATGTAAATATTATGTCCTTCCACGTATGCCTCCTTGGTTCACCTGCATCGGTAGTCAGAAATTATACATGTTCCTTGCTGGAATTGTAAGACTTACTGGTTTATCTTTAATAGCAGATTCCAGACATGAAGTGTCATTATCTATTATAACTGATATTCCATTGCATCATTTGCGTAAGTTGATAGCCGAGGTCAGAATGAAGCAATACTGTAAGGAAAGCTGGCACTCTTGGTATGCCAGGACTGGTTCAGGACAGCTACTCCGTGAAGCAAGTACTGCAGTATGCATTCTCAACGAGATGATCTATGGTATGTCAGAACAATCAATTAATACTTATACAAGACTGTTTCAAAAGTCCAGAATGAAAAGTGAAAATACAAGAGGATATGTTGATGTAAGATATGCTGATAGTCATCCTAACCAACATGAATGTGCTGCTTCTGATAAATCTGTTTGGAAGGTCTGTCAGGGGGAGGATACAAGGAATCAGTTGATTGATTGCATTGGTCGCATACTTAATGAATATTTTTCTCCTGAAGTGTGGGATCTTCCAATAGATCAGGAACATTCTCTTCTAGAAACTGCGTGTGAAGCAGAAAATATTAATCTGCATCTTTTCCGTGATACTGCAATGCTACACCAGGTTATTATTGATGGAATAGGCATTTTCAATCTGTGTCTTGGAAAAGATTTTGCTTCTAGTGGATTTCTTCATTCTTCTCTATATATGTTACTTGAAAATCTTATCTGTTCATGCTCTCAAATAAGAAATGCATCTGATGATGTCTTACGTGTTCTTTCTGCTTCTTCTGGTTATCCTACTGTAGGATGTTTAGTTGTGGCTAATGCAGACTACATAATTGATTCGTTATGTCGGCAACTTCGTCATTTGGATATCAATCCTCATGTACCAAATGTCCTTGCTACTATGCTTTCTTATATAGGAGTAGCACATGAAATATTGCCATTACTGGAGGAGCCAATGAGGTCTGTTTCCCTGGAGCTTGAAGTTCTTGGTAGGCATCAGCACCCAGATTTAACCATGCCATTTTTGAAGGCTGTGGCTGAAATTGCAAAAGCAACAAAGCATGAAGCTTGTCTGATGCCAACTCAAGCAAAGTCCCTTTTTACTGATGTCAAATCTAAAGTGTCTCGTTTGGAGAAGACAAGAAAGGATCACAAAAATTTCATTTCACATGATAATGGTGATACTGAATTATATTCAAGAGAATTAGATACAGATGCCTTGTCCAATGAACTTGATTTAAATCTGGAGAAGTGGGAGAAAATGTTGTTCCAGCTGAATGAATCCTGCAATTATAGACGGACAATAGGATCTCTTGCAAGCTCATGCTTAGCTGCTGCCACCCCTTTACTTGCTTCAGTAAAGGACAAAGAATGCCTGGTGACCCTGGACATAGTCGAGGATGGAATTGTCACTCTATCAAAAGTTGAAGAAGCCTACAAACATGAGAGAGAAACAAAAGTAGCAATTGAAAGAGCAATTGAGCTTTGTTCCTTTCATGATTTTCAAGATACTCTTGATGCCTCCAATGAAGGAACTGATGAGAATAGATTGCTTCCAGCAATGAATAGAATTTGGCCTTATTTGGTTGCTTGTATTAAAAATACACAGCCAGTGGCTGTACGGAGATGCTTGGCTGTGGTAAGCAATGCAGTGCAAATATGTGGAGGGGATTTCTTTTGCCGCCGGTTTCAAAATGATGGACGCCACTTCTGGAAATTGCTAATGACATCTCCATTTCAAGGGAAACTCAAATTAAGAGAAGCTATGCCATTGCAACTTCCATACAGAACTACATCGTCAGAGGACCCAATTGCTGAGGTTTCCAGTTTGAAGGTCCAAACATCTGCTCTGCACATGATTGCTGATCTATCGAGGAACAAGAGAAGTGCTTCTGCTTTGGAAGTCGTCCTCAAGAAGGTTAGTGGCCTAGTTGTGGGGATAGCTTGCAGCGGAGTTATTGGCCTTCGTGACGCTTCCATTAATGCTTTGTTGGGGTTGGCATGTATTGACCCTGATCTTATTTGGCTTCTGTTGGCTGATCTTTACTATTCTTTGAAGAAGAAAGAATTACCTTCACCACCCACATCTGATTTTCCGGAGATCTTCCATCTCTTACCACCTCCATTGTCTTCCAAGGATTTTCTTTATGTGCAGTATGGGGGAGAAAGTTTTGGTTTTGATGTCAGCTTTTCTTCTGTGGAAATCGTGTTCCAGAAGTTGCATCAGGAGGTGTTTAATTTGCAAAATATGCAGGCACTTCAAATCCCAAATCAAGGTGGATCTAGGGGTACCTAAGCAGGTTAGTGACCAACAATCTTCTGTAGTGTTTTTTTTTTTGTTGGATCAGTAACAATCAAATTTTTATTGATATGTAAACAGAGTGTACAGATTTACAGGATAAAGAATGTAGACCAGCCCAACTGTCTACCCCCAAATGTCTCACATCATGTTCCAGTAGGCACTGAAGTATACAAAGAGGAAATGTCCAAGATGTTTCTCTTATTTTTATCCATAAACTTGAAGCTCAATTGCTGGCTTGGTTTGACTCCTTTACTGGTAAAGGCTTTCATATAAATGGGTTCTGGACTCGTCATGTCATTAAAACATGAACCAATGGGGTTGCAGCGGGATGAGTAATATTGAATACATGGTTTTGTGTGTGTGCGCGCGCACACGAGAGAGAGAGAGAGAGGAATGCTTGAGAGTTTAAGTTTTTCGAGGGAGGGAGAGAGGTAAGATTAATACAACGTAATACAATAAAATTTTAATAAATCAAATAATCTAAGTAGGTTAATGTTGAACAATAAAACATAATACAACATAAATAAATATGTTATTCTAAAAAATTGTTAAGTTAAAATCCACTAAATTTCCATTTAAAAATAATAGATATTAATAAACTTAGTAAAATTAAAATACATTTATCTTATAATAGTTCATAAAAATTAAGAAATTTGGTTTTTTTAAAATGTTTATTGAAAACATTTTAATTCCACTTAAAAATCAAATTTAATAAACATTAATAAAAACAATAAATTTAAATACAATAAAAATATTAATTGGTAGTCTTAATAATATTATGATTAAAATCCATTGGACATAATAAACATGGGTTTGGCATATTACACATAGAGCCTGTGTTCTAATGTTGTATTTTTTTTATTCTTTTTACCTTTATTAGATGGCTTTGTATTAATGTATTTTAAATTAATTAATATTATTATTAAAATTAATATTTTTTTATGAGTTTGGACCTATATTGTGCATAGTGCACATACTACATAAGATTTGGATAAGCTCAACCAAATGGAAATATCTTAAGGCTATGTTTGGGAGTGCTTAAAAATAAGTGCTTATTTGGCCCATTAAGCACGTATTGGTATTTGGAAAATAAGTGCTTATTTTAAAAATAAGGGCTTATTTTTTAAGCCCAAATTTCTAGCTTTTTTTAAGTGCATATACAATAAGCATTTATTCAATTTTTTTCTTTCAAACATAATTATCCGTAGTTGAATTTTAAAAGACCACTTATAAAATTATCCCTAATTGAATTTTATAAAAGTACATTTATGAAAACTGATGCCAAGCTAACCCACATCAAAAACATTTTTACAAAATCAATTTTATAAAAGCACTTTTATGAAAGTACTTTTACAAAATCACCTTTGCCAAAACGCTTTTACAAAAGTACTTTTATGAAAGCACTTTTACGAAATTACTTTTACAAAAACACTTTATAAAGTGCTTTCGTAAAAGTGCTTTTGTAAAAATGCTTTCATAAAAGTATTTTCATAAAAGTGTTTTTATAAAAATGTTTTCATAAAAGTATTTTCTTAAAAGTGCTTTCAAAGGGTATATTTTGAAATTTTGAAAGAAAATGGACAAAATAGTCACAAATGCTTATTTAAGTGTTTCTTAAAGAAAAATGCTACCAAATGCCCAATATAAAATAAGTGCTTATTTTAAAAAATAAGCACTTGAAAAAGTTGGATGCCAAATGAAAAGTGTTTATTTGAATAAGCATTTATTTTTAACTTAAGCACTTCCAAACATGGCCTAAGACTCCTTGGGATTGTTACGACCCTACCCATATAGCAGGAGATGGGCTTGTATACATGACATGTATATAATACACTGTACTTACGATAAAAAGGGACAAGGGGTGCAACTTGGGAAAGCCCAACCCAAGCTTGAACTGACCTGGCCTACATTTTTTCATGGATTGGACTTTGATTTTCATTCCTTGGGCTGGGCCTAGGCCTAAAAGACCTAAGCTTTTCTGTTTTTGTGTTGGGCAACTTAAACTTAAACCCAACTTGACCTTGGCCCAACCATATATACATGCAACTTTTTAGTAACCTTAACCTAGCTTAAACCAACATGCATACATACATATATAATGGCAATTTCCACCCTACCCATACCCATTGGGTATTCACCCTTACCCTCGAGAAGGTTTTTTTTTTTGGTTGAATAATGGGTTTTGGAATTTTACAACCCATACAGGTATGAATAAGGTACAATATTAGGCTAAACCTAACCATCCCCGGTCCATACATTGTAATTACTAAAACACCCCTAATGCTTATAATTAAATTACCGTTGTAAGGCATTTAAACTTATGTGTTTTTCTACATGTTTTAATTAAATAATCAGAAACTTTGATGTTTGTTCATATTATTTTACTTGTTTATTACTTATATAACAAGAAATAATAAAAAGCTGGACATGGATTCTAGAGCCAACCTGCCAATCCCACCTGCCCCACTCGTAAATGCAAAGAGGGTGGGTTAGGGAGGGCTTTTGTGTTTTTATATGTGGGGAGGGCTTGGATTTTGAAAATCCAATCCACTATGGGTTTGGAGAGGGTATGGGTTGGGAGGTTTTGGGAGGAAAAGAGGGTCTAGAATTTATAAAGCCCTCCCCGAAATACATAAAATTCTTTTATGAAAAGTTCTTATTTAAAACTTTAAATTAATTATAATAAATAGGTTCATGCAACTTTTTAGTTTATTGAGCTTTAATAGGCCCACTTTAACCCAATTGACTAGGGGTGTTAATGGATCAGATCTTGATCCGATCCTATTTGGCTGAATTCAGATCACCCATATCCAATTTGAGATCTGATCCGATATATATTATATATTTATAAATATATATATAATACATATATGTTATTTATTTATTTTTTTTATAAAAACATGTATATATGTGATGAAAATAATTAAAAAAAAATACTTGTATTTTTTGTTTTTACTTTAATTAAATTAGTATTTTTTTTAATAATTTATTGATTTTTAAAGAAAACAAGTTGGATCAGATCAGATCCGAAGATTTGACTTACCGATAGGATTCGAATTCAAATAAATCCTATCAGATCCGACTAGATTTTCGGATTGGACTGGATCCGGTATCAATAGTGTCGAATCAGATTTGAATCTGATACAATCTGTTTGCATCCCTACAATAGACCAACCCAAGCTTGACTTAGCTTGGACCCAATCTGAATGTTAGTTTTTATTTCAAACTAGGCTTGGGTTAGAAAGATCTGGCTTGACCTTAGACCTAATTCAGACTCAAGCCTTATGTCAATATTTAGGGTTTGGGCTTGGATTGACCTTAAACTTGACTTGGTTTAGAGACCCCTATGTGCTTATGTTGCATGGTTTTGAAAACCAAACTGGAAATAAAACCACTTTGGCCACTAGTTCTCGTGTCAAACAGTCCAAACATGGGACGGACGATTTTGGGATCCAAAACCAGATCTGAACCCATGACCGTTCTCGGGTCAACTGGTTGGATCGTCTGGTCTGGTATTGTTTTCAAAACCATGGTACCATGCATCTCATTAAATAAGTGAGCCTAAATCATTTTCTATACATAAGTCATCAAAATTTAATTTTTAAAGCTCATTTAAAAATAAAAAAATTAGTAAAAAGAATAATTAAAAAATAACTTCATTATTTATGAGCAAAAGTAAAGGACATACAACTATTTAAGTTACATTTAAAAGTAAAAGAATTAATAAAAATAAGTGTAAATTTCTTAAATTACCCTTATGGTTTAGCTAATTGACTAAGTGTATTTGCTATTTGAAAATTGATAGGAAGACAAAAAAGACTATTTTACCCTTTATTCTTTTTCATATTTTCAAAATAAAACGTTTACTCTCGGTTAGTTCTAAACACGTTCACCAACCCAAATTCAAGCCCTTAAAAGGTCTATAATTCTCTTTGTTGATTTTTTCGTTTCTTTTCTTATTTATGCTGAATTATCAATTCTACCATGCAATCCAGAAGCTCATTTAATGGCAGCCATTAAATGAAGCAAAATAAGCTCATTACTTCAGACTAAAAACGAAACCAAAAAACAGAGAAAACAAATATGAGAAGATGCGGTGATAATAGGATTGCCTTCGTAACCAGGGAACAGGGGATAAGAGCAGTTTGGAAATAGTCGTCGACGAGATGAAGGGGAAAGGGGAATGTTGGAAATGGCCAGCGACCATTTCGACTAATAGATGGCCACATCGAAAGTGGGAGGGAGCGCCATCCATCAACGCGGCCGCCATCACCATCACCATCGCCAACGACGACGTAACTGCAACTACTGAAGGCGAAGCGTGCACAGGCGGGCGGAGATCTCTACCGCACTCCCCCTCTTGTTTGTCCAAGCGCCATTTGGTTTGATGGACGAGAATGCAGAGGGCCTGTCGTTCATGAGTGAATGTTATTAGGTGCCGGAGCCAGATGATAACGGGCATAGATCAGGAGCGAATGTTGTTCGGCATCAATGGAGAAGACAAGAGCCTGTCGTTCATGCACAGCCCAAAATTCCTACCCAGCAGACCCACCCATTACCCAAAAGGTGCCAACCTCAGCCGCCGGCCGCCATGCCTTATAAACCTTCTCCTCATTCCCTTGTTCATAAGCAAGATACGATCTTGGGAAAGCCTTTCGAAGATATTAAAGCTCATTACATGCTCGGAAAGGAACTGGGTAAAGGTCAATTTGGCTTGATGGACGAGAATACAGAGGATCTTAAATGTTTGTGGGTGGATTTCAAAGGAATCTCGGTCTCCCTATAAAACCCAGACCCTTTGAACCTTTGTCTGAAATCTCACCATTTTTTTCTGGAGATGTCTGACGGTCTCCGCTTCTCTCCTTGCGTCCAATCTCTACCGAACGGGAAAGACCTGAGAGGAACAGAAAAGGCAGCTGCACTGTGACGGAGATCTCTGCCGTAAAGGAAGGCAACTGCAACTACCGAACGAGGGAGCATGCGCAGGCCGATGGAGATCTGCCCTCCCCCTCCTTTAACAATGCAGAGGGTACTTTGGGTATTATGTCAAATACATGAAGGTACGTGTAAACGGACACAGTTAATCAATTAGTTATGTCAATTTTCGAATAGTAAGGACACAGTTAATCAATTAGTTAAATCATAAGGGCAGTTTAAGAAATTTATCCTAAAAATAATTGTATTATTTTAGAAGCAAAAGTAATTACATATAACTTTCTTATTTATAGGAAATTGAAATATATGGAAAGAAAGGAAGTCCACGTAATACTTTCCTTTAAAACCCCAAGAAAGTTGGTATTTGAAAGAAAAAGGCAAAACTTTAATAAAAACAAAATTAAAATATGCGAGCTAGGTCCAATAAAAAATAACTAATATTAATGGAAAAATTAACATTAACAATAAGTAGTAAAAAATATTACAAGTAATAAATCTCAATTGGAAATATCATAAGGCTCCTCCTTAGAGATCAAGGTTCAAAATATCGACATGCCCAATACGTCGGTAGGGGCATATTGGACGATATCGATACTGTTTTTTTATTTTTTCGAAACCAATTCAAGGAGACCGGTTTAAAGCTCCTCCACCATCTGAACCGATCAGAACCCCGATACACCCATTATAGGGGCATATCAGGGAGGTCCCAAAACGATACGTGTCGATACTTTGAACCTTGTTAGGGATGATCATTTATGATCTAGACCAGCCTAAATTTCTAGGCTCAAGCAATTATTTTCTTCTAGGCCATGCCTAGGCTAGGCAACCCCATTTGCATTCTATACAAAAATAATAAAAATAATAAAAACAATAATGGATCATTTGAAAATGTCATAAGGCTCATTTTCCTTAAGGATGATCATTTATGACTTAGACCAACCCAACCAAAATTACAATTTCATGGCTTAGGCAACTATTTTCTTTTGAGCAGGCCTTGCTCAACTCTACATAAGCCCATAATCTGGGCTAGGCTCAGGTTAAGTAATCCTTAAACTTAACCTGGAAGTTATATACAATTATGGTAAATATTATATATAATATTTAGATAATAAATTGTATATAGATATATGGTATAATATATTTTTGTATATAATTGATTATAATTAAATAAAAATTATAATTTATAAAAAAATCATAGTTTGACCTTGTCCTAGGTCCAAACTAGGGGTGGACTCAAGCTGAGTCAAGCTGAATATTTGGCTATTCGAGCATGGTTCTGTAAAAAAAACATAAATAAATAAAAAGGCTTGAGTTTGAGCTGAGAGGCATGAGGTTGAATTCAGCTTTACTCAAAAGCTCATATATTCAAGTTCAGCTCAGTTTATGAACGATAGTGAGCCAACCTTCATATGAAAAATAAAAAGTTATACATACCAAAAAATAAAAAATAAAAAATATGCATATAAAAATTTAGAAAATATTATATAATATAAACTCAATTAGGCTTGTAGGCTTCATTGGACTCGAAGTCAACTTGATTAGCAAATGTGCCTATATATTAGGCTCTAACTCAGCTCAAAGCTCGATTTTAAACCAAGCCGGATTGAGCTTCTCACAAGTTAAGCATGAATATCTCATGAAAAAGCTTGATTTGTATCCACCCCTAACCTAAACAAATATTATCAAGCTTGGGAGTGCATCGGGTTGGGCATGGACAACTTTAAAAATTGTTAATACACTATCAAAATATAACTCATAATCTTTTATTTTTTTGTTCATTAATGGGGTAGCCCATCCCCCTCTATACCCATAACCTCAAAGCCCTTATGGTAGTGGGATTTGATCCCAAGCTAGCAGTGATACCAGGGTTTTTAAAACTGCCTCGGAGAACGAATTGGTCAGAGGTCCGGTTCTTGGGTCAAATGGTCCGACTGTTCGAATCGAACGATTGGCCCATTCTGACAAAAAAATAAAAAAAAACGGTCAAAACCGTTCAAACTGTTCGAACGGTTAACCGCCTGGGTCAGCAGTTTGCTGATCAAAATCAACGGTTTTTGGGAAAAATTCGGTTTTGGGGAAAAACAGAACCGGTCACTTAATCAGTTCTTGGTTTTTCCAGTCCAGTCTGGTTTTGAAAACCATGGGTGATACCAATAGAACCACCCATCAATTAGGTGGCTCAAGATCACCTTGACTCGTGTTCATATATATTTCTACTTTAATTTTAGGGTTTCTACTTTAATTTTACAGAAAACTACAGATAGACCCAATATAAATGAACCCAATGCAGATTTCTGATTTTCACTATAAAACTATAAACATTCATAAGGTAAAAAATCCACACTCTATAACCCACCCGTGAATCGTCATTCTCCCTTAATTTTATGGGTTCCTTGGGATTTAATTTCACTGTATTGCACAGATCCTAACTGGTGTATGTATACACACACGTGAATACAATCAAAGTCTGGCTTGCTATCAAATCAAATTGATCTAAATTATTTGTACATACTCTCTCTCTCTATATATATCTCTCTCTATATATATATTTTATAGCCCAGGAAATGAGAGATGAAGGAGAATGGAGAATGGAGATTTAGGCGAAATTTTCTAACGTGCACTTATGATATGTATTCTTCAACTAAAATCCAACCAAAAAATTTTCTAACGTGCACTTATTTAACTTTGGATTGGGTTAAGATTGAGGCATTGTCCAATCCGACCCTACAATATAAAAAAAGAAAAGTCATTCTAAATTGACATAGGAAAAATTAATGGAGCATGTTAAAGTTAGAATTGGGATTTCAAGAGATCAAATTGGCTAATTATTGAGAGAGAGAGATTAAAAGTGATTAATTTTAATAATGAAATGGAATTGGATTAAATTCCATCCAAAATCTAATATATCCACCCAAAGACCACTAGATCCAATTGGATTTTGGATTGGGTTGAAGATTAGGGGAAATTCACAATTAGTACCTTGTACTTTGGTCCCCAAACTTTAAAATGCGACAGTTTAATACCTTAACTTTCAAAACGTGTCAATCTAGTACTTGCCATTAACCAGCCGTTAAGTGGCATTTGAAAAGACACAAATGCCCATTCAAGTGTCATCTAATTCTCTTTATCAACCATCCAAACATTGACAAAAAATAACCCCAAATCCTTGCCTCTTTTGTTCAAGAAAATTGAGGTCACGTCCCAATGAGCATTTTGGTGACCCTAACTTTTTGAATAAAAGATGAAGGATTTGGGACTGTTCATTCTTTTATCAATGCTTGGATGGTTGGTAAAGAGAATTAGATGACACTCAAAGGACATTTATGTCTTTTCAAATGCCACTTATAGACTGGTTAACGAGTTGATTAACGATAGGTACTGAATTGACACATTTTGAAAGTTCAGGTATTGAATTATCGCATTTTTAAAGTTCATAAACCAAAGTGACACTAAACCCAAAGTACAGGATACTAATCAAGAATTTTCCAAAGATTAATCTGAATCCAATCAAATTACAGCCCTAATCCCAACTGCTTCATCAATACTACTTACTCAAGACTAGTCAACCAAAAGGTGGGTTAGCAGGAATTCAGATCTCCTACTCACCACACCTACCCAAATGACACTACAGTTCTAAATTGGGAAACTCTTCCCATGAATGATAACAAGCAGATATAGGAGATGTTCTCAATATACAGCTATAGTGAGGCATGGGTAGGTACCGGTAGGGTTCTTGTGGGTAGGAGATCCAAACTGGGTTAGCCGGTTAGGAGTTAACCATGCCGAAGCAACCCATCCCTTCTCAGTTGGGTTAGTCGACATGATAAAGGGCCTCTTGCTAGTTGCTAGTTGCTAATGAATGGTGAGCATGAAAGCAATAGTCTCTTAGAAGTTTAAATAGAGGAGATCATAGTTAAAGGAGATTTAATAGAGACTTCAAGTATATTTACAAAGTTCTTTTATCAAGTTGCTAGTTGGTTAATTAACAGCTACTTGGGTCACAGTCACTTCAAACGTCTATCAAGTTTTGGGAAGATTGACCACATTGTGCAAATTTCTTTTTATCATTTTTTTTCTGAAACCAGTCCAATCTCTCTCACTAAGCTCAATGAAATCAAAATTTTCTTCACTAGAGTAAGGCAAAAGGAACTCCATCCTAAAGAGAAGAAGAAATAGAGATGTGCAATTTAAACCCAAGAGATGCAAGCTAACCAGTTGAGAGTTCTCTGCTTATTCTTGTATACCATTTTCAAAATAGAACATTAGAACCTGTTCTCAAATTCCTTCAAAAAAGCATTGCTTGTTTGTTCATCTGGACTGGTGAGTATCTCCGAGACACACTTTATCAAAGAGCATAGCCCCCCCAAGAAGTTATGATCAATAACACCTTCACCCTCCAAGACATGAGCAAAATCAACAAGCTTGATTTCTGCACCCGGAATCCCTTTCAATGCCCCCTCCTTTTCATAAACCATAAGAACTGAACAAGAGTAGAAGTGAAAAATAGTTTGATCCTCAAACCATGCTTTCAGCTCCAGTAACTGTGCCAGAATTCCAGTGGAACCTCCATAAACAACTGAGGCAAATGAACAATCTGGGACCCCATCTGAAGATGGGTTAGAAGAAACAAACTTCCTCAGAACTGACTTAACGTCCTTCATGGTAAAACTCTGGGTTTGCTTCTTATTAGGTTTCCAGAACCCTGACTCCTCACTCTCATAGACTTTCAAACCAGATATCCTAAAGCCCAATTGCAAGCTTGTGGACTCTCCGTCTTTCTTGATGCATCTCTGGAAATAATCATCAGATGCTTGAGGGTACCAGGTCCTGGAGCCAATCTTGATGTCGATAACAGATGGGAGGACACGATTTGAGACCAGATCCTCCAAAACAAGGTGGGGGTGCAGCCCGGATCCATCTGAACCTTCTAAAAGCTGGGTTCCATGGAAAATGGGGAAGAATCTTCGGACATAATCTGGTATTCTGGTGTTGGAAGAGAAAGAAGTATAAAAGGCCACCTCTTTGGACCCACGTTCATCATTCTGAAGAGGCTTGTAGAAGTGACCTGAATCATCAATCAATGGACCAAGCTTTCCATCGCAAGCCTGGTACCCAGCAACTTGATGTTCAGGGGTCTTAAACATAGTGAAAATGCACCTGGCAACAAATACTTTTTCTCCACGTCTATTCAGACTATGGTTCAAACTTCAAACCAAAGAAATGAAGAATTCCACAATCTGGAGTCAAAATTCCTGTTTTCTGTTAGAAAGCTCCAAAGTACATTAAATTGTATATCTGAAAAAACAAAGAACATTCAGATAAACCATGAGGTTTCTCTCTTCTTTTATTTAAGAGAAAATTTCAGATATAAAAACTATGATACTTTACAAAGAAAGAGTGAGTAGATGTAGGAGAATGACATTCCTCCTGAAGTTTCATAAACTATTTTCCCATTAGAGGGCTGACCCTCTGGTTTTCCAAGTTAAATCAAAAAGGAAAATCAGGAAAATGGTTTTTTCCTATTAAATATCATTGTCCTTTGTTATATATGGAACCAATTGCAGCCATTAACTAGAGTATCATGAATAAAGAAAAAAAGAATGAACACCAACTTACTGGCAACTACAACCACTGGAATCAGAATGGAAAAAGGAATCTCTCAAAGGAAGCAAACTAATACATTATTCAGTACATTATAGAACATAGCCTCAGTTGTTCTGCCATCTACAACACTTCAAGGACTTCAAATTACTGAAATGGAGCAAACTGATGAGTAGAACACAGATTGAGAAGGAACCAAAACACTTGAAATTGGCAATTAATCCAAAATGCCAAAAAAGGAAAGGAAAACGTTTTCATCTTTTCACCATGCAAACAAAGATCCATCTCAAATAACGTGAATAAAACTCCATGAATGTTAATTTTAACAAGGAAAAAGGAATCTAATTGGAAGGATAGAAGAATCAAACAAGAGAATGCCATATCTACCAAAAGCAGAGGAAGCTGAGCATTCAATACTGATTAAGACTAAAAATTTGAAAATGAATGAATAAAAAAATGATCCATGCATGTTCTTCACTCTGCAAACCAAATATTCTAAATCTAGGATTTTTTTTTTTATTGACATGAAGATCGGTAACAACCTTTCCACAACCCTTCACCATATAATCAATTAAACACCAGAAAATCCTAACCTACTTGAGAAAGAGCAAAGGAATGCAGTTCGCCAATTCACTAAGGCATTCAAATAAAATAACTAGGAAGCATCTCAATTCCCTTGGGCTATGTTTGGTTTGAAGGAAAAGGTAGGGAAAGATCAATAAAACTTCATAGCAGCCACAAAATTACAGAAATTCGATTGCAATAAGACAGCTTTCGTTCATTAAAATGTACAAACCTTTTCATTTTTTTCAAAAAAGCAACCCGGTTGAATCCTGATAAAAAAAATGGAAGACAGAAGAAAACCCAGATGAGAAGGATTTTAAACCAGCAAGTAGTGATCCAAGAAAGAACATTTTTTATTGATACACGGATAAAGAGAAAAATATATATATTTAAAGAAAAGGAATCATGTGATCATTATTGATGAAATCTGAAAAATGAAGAATGTTTCAGCTTTTAATAAGGAAAAAAGTAGAAAATGAAAATCATTTACCTTCTGGGCATCATCCAAACTGGCTCAAACTCCATCTAAAGTTGAACCTTCAAACTCGAACAAACAAGTGAACAACAAAAGTTTGTTTGGCAGACGCAAAACGCCCAGAAAGAACCAAACGTCAATATCTCAGGGATATTGACTCGTGTTGTCACAATCACACGTCCCCACGTGACAATCACCCCAAGTTTCACTGCAACCAAGACACAGAAAAGCTGCTTAGCTCTCCTGACTAGTCAATTTTGAATTCCAAGCATAACAGAGAAGAGTGGAACAGTGTGATACCGACACTTAAGATTTAAGAAGGTTTCTTGAACTTGAAGTGGACATGCATGGCTTCTCCGAGTCATTCAGCCATGGAGAGAACGGTAGCTTGGGTAGATGATCTGAGCTGAGTGGAGATCAGAAAGAGCTAAGACAGTTTCTGTTGAGAGTTTGCAGGGGATAACTGAGAGTACTCTGAACATGTGGGGGGTGAAGGGTTAGATGTATGGATGAAAACTGCAAAGGAGACAGCATTTGGCAGCTCTGTGTAGGCCAGGTCTGATCACCAAGCTCATTTGGTCAAATCATTAATGAGGTCGGTCATCAAATAATAATATGGGCAGTTGGGGATCCAAAGTTGGGTGACTGGGTCCATGACCTTAAAAGGAATTCCATCACCAGTGGCCACTGTAGAGTACAATTGGACGATGACAAGACTTGAGATTTTATTCATGAGACGATCCTTATTGGCGTTGCCTTCAGGCATGAAGCAGCTTTTGTTCAGCTAACAGTTAACACCATCTTACTCCAGATTAGCAGTAAGTAGTAACCTTAGCCTATGATTATTAACTGCTAAGAGAGCAGAACTTAGAAATCCCAAGTTTCAGATTTTCAGTCTCTCTCTCCCATTAAAATCTTTGCAACTTTCCAAGTTTCTGAAAAAAGATTGATTGTGATCCAAGAAATGATCTTTCTGGAATATTATAAAGACTCATAGAGGCATTATATTGGAAAATATGTTGGGTGCCATTGACCATCTTTTCTCCCAACTTCCAAAGGAAGAAATATCCCAAATCACTGCTCCTTGTGCACGTGGGAGAGGAATCAGTCGCTCAACCAGTTGCTGCATTCATCTTACTTTATCCGAATACCACATTTTTGTTGGATTGTGGTCGACGGTTGATCATCCCCAATTCCACAGCAAATGAGCAAATCCATCTTCCTTTATCTTGTCCGGACGGAACTCTTCCCTAAACTCTCTTGCGTTACACGACTATCTTGAGGTTAGATTTCATTCTTTACTCTGTATGCGAGGGAACCCTTTATCAGGAACCCCACCAGCGTGAGCTCTGGCAATCAGAACCGGTGGCGGCAACGAAATTCCGACAATCAGAACCGCTGGTTTCAGTTCTTGATCTTTCTCTTTCTGTAATTTCTTTCTTCTCCCTGTATTTTACTTTCCCAATTCTTAAGCGCTGCCGTCATACATGAAAAAGGAGAAACCAACGTCGAGCAGCGGCCAGCGGCAAGGGTGGAGAATAGGGGTGGATTCAAGCCGAGCCAGGCCGAATACTCGCCAAGGTAGTACGAGTTCGAGCTCGGCTCAGCTCGATCTGATAAAAATGTTTTATAAAAATAAAAATATATATAATATTTTTGTTATATATATTATTTTTTATAATTTTATATTATTATTATTATAATGATGATGTAGATCGGTTGACACCAAGATGAGACGGGCTTGAGTAGCTCGTGACGAGATCTCCTGGCCACCTAGTGGAGAGAGAAGAGGTGCCGCCAGTGATGCCTTATTAACTAGTTAAGTGTATTTACATATTTTAATTTTGAGGTAAATACTATAATGACCATTTTAGTGATAAAAAGATATTATTAAAAGGGGTAATTTTGTTCATCAACTTTTTCTCATATGAGAAAATAAATTTTTTGTAAGCCCCACAAAAATCTTAAAAAAAAAAAACATCGAGTAGCTTGGTCAATGGATATCAAAATTCTATTGACTAACTTTCCCCTTTCAAAGTCAAAAAATAAAGGAGTCATAAAGGTTTTTCATGCTCTATCTCCTCTTGTGAAGCTTGAACACCATTCATGAGGATCCACCTCACTTGACCACCAGATTGTGGTGTCTAAATCTAGTAGACATAATATAGTAAGCACGTTCAATGAACACTTGATAAATATTCTAAGCCAACCAGTGGCTTGGTAAGGTCACTTGCTAGTCGTGTTGGTCATAGCAGAGACTTGGGATCAAATCCCACCTACACCTAGGTTAGGGGATGGGCCACCCCCCAATTGTGTAACCCTTCAAAAGATATCATAAAAAAAAAAGATAAATATTTTGACAATTGTCAAAAGTGTTTTTTAATCTTTTTCAAGAATAGGTTGGGGGTATATTAAGAAACATGTGTCAAACTTTTTTTTTTCTAAATTCTTATTGAATGTGCTTATAATGTTGTGCCTACCTGATTTAATGCTTTCCATGCACAGAGGATCTCGATCCATGGTTCAATGGGTCCGGTCCAACATATTGCTAGTCTATGATCTGCAACATTAATTAAAATAATAACTTTAGATGATTTTAAGCTTTGGTATAAGCAATCTTGGGGTGATACCTTTAGTGATGTTTGGGTTTATCCTAATCATGTTCATGTCAAAATCGTGACAACCCATTTAGCATGACCAATAAATGTGTTAATTTTGGGTCAATATGCATAACCCAAAAATGACCTATTTATGACTCAAAACCCATTTTATTGATTTTTAATCATATAATATATATTTACATATAATATGTATTAATATATATCATATACATATTAATTTATATATAATTCATATTTATTATTTTATAATATACATAAATATATATATAATATAAAGAAATATATGTATATCAATCAGTTCGGTTAACTGCCAATTTTCTATATTGGTTAACAAAAACCGAACCGGTACCTTCAATTTTTTAAAAACACCAAACCGGAACCAAATAATTAACCATGTAAACAAGTCGAGTTTACGTCTGAAGATTTGGCATAAATAATTAACCATGTAATATTCGTATCGATTTATATATCCGAATACCCTTATCTCAACACAATACAACAACATGAATTGTCACTCCTAAATCTAATAAAGGTATACAAAACCAATTTGAATCCATGATTTTTTTCTTCAACTTCTAATAATAGCTTTTAGGATATATATAAATTGTGAATAGCCATTCTGTACTTAAAGGGTGGCACCACCTACCACCTTAAACTTTGTTTTGTAACAAAGAAACCTTAAATTGTGAATAGCCATTTTGCCCCCTAACCCACTAGGGGGTTGATCATAAAGGTAAAAATACCAAATTGCCTAGTCAAGATTCAATGGGTTAACAGTAACAAATATTAAAATAAGGAATATAACTAATCTAAAGCACAAATTGTTCTTAAAAAAATGAACTTTTTTGAAAAAATGTTGATAGAAATATGTAAGAGCTAGGATTTTAGAAAAATTAAAGGGGTATTATACAATGTGAATTGTTTTTATTGTTGTCCATTTCAAAAACAAATCAAAACTATTTGAGTTTGAAAGCAAAATTGTTTTTCACAACAACAAAAAAATAGTGTGTTCTTGGTTGTGTATGTGTTTTTTTTTTTTTCTTCAAAGTTGAAACCAAAACCGTGTTCTTGAATTTTGATTTCAAAAAGCATGTTTTCATCTGGTTTGAAAATAAATTATTTTTCAAAACAAATACACAAAAAAAACATGTTTTTGGTTGTGTATTTGTTTTTTTTTTGTTTCAAAAATATGTTTTCATCTAGTTATTTAATATCATGTTATATTATTTTAATTTCTAAACTACACATTTTTTTATTTTAAAAACATTATTTTAATGGTTCTAAAAATATATATTATTTTTTGAAACAAAACCAACTTATTTTTCTCTTTGAAAACAAAAGCAAAGTTCAATAATATGTTTTTGTTTTTTTTTGTTGATGTGGCAATTCCAAAAACATTCATGTTATAGAATTATACATGGTTTTGGAACCATCAAAATAATAGTTCTTAAAACAAAAATAAATTTTCTAGTATAGAAATTATATAATTTATGTAATGTAACATTAAATAACTAGATGAAAACATGTTTTTAAAACCAGAATTCAAGAACACGTTTTTTGTTTTAGTTTTGAAAATAAGAAATGCGTACAAAACTAAAGCCGTTGTTTTTGTTTTTATTTTGAGAAACAATCTATTTTCAAACCAGATGGTTTTGATTTGTTTAAAGAAATATTATACCCTATAAAGTTAACTAATGGAGCATCAACGATTGGGGCAAAGTGCTAGAATTTAGAAGTTCATATAGGTCTTTTTGCAAAACAAAGTTGGAAGAGCTAATTAAGTGACACTACCCCTAAGTACAAGGTAGTTTATAATTTATATAAGGAGTGGGTGTGCTAAACAAGTCATTTAACAAGGTTGAAAAGCCAAGAATCCTCTACATGGAAAATGTCTTTACGAATCAGTTTTCTTAGAGGTCTTTGTCACTATCTTTTGATAGGGGGGACAAATTTCAGCTCCAAAACCCTTACCATGTTATGTAGAACAAGCCCCTAGGCAGAGGGTTAATATGCATAAGAGGATCAAGTGTTGAATTCAATGTAAAGGTCCCCTAGTTGATGGATAGCCTTGATTGGCCATATCACCCTTCCACGTGGAGAAAAACAAGGCAGGTACTAAGACACATCGGCCCACATAATGTAATGGTCTTGAAGTCTCATATTCTATTTATTCTCTATCTTGATTGTTATCTATTAGTTATCTTATTTTTTAAGCATTGTTATCCTTGAGTTATGTGATGTACTCATTCTTTTACAATTAGTAATACTAGATACTCATTATATTCATCAAGTGGAGGGACTTTTCTTCAATTACATTGCATTGTATAAGACTTATTATGGTATCAGATCCTAATACCATCATGTCGACCGCCAGTGATACTTCAACCTCAACCTCACAAAACATGATTCATGGGATGCCTAACACGAGTTTCACTAGTCTCATAAAAGTGAAACTCGATAGATCCAATTATTTGTTATGGCATTCACAAATCTACAATGCATTCAAGATGTTAGATTTGTTAATCTTTATAGATGGATATAGCCCATGCCCTACTAAGCACATTACAAGGTCAAGTGATGAATAAAACTCCTCTAGTATAGAACAAACAATTAACCTAGCACATTTGACTTGGGAAAAATATGATATACTTCTTCTTAATTGATTGTTATCTACTTTAATGGATGTTGTGCTGGGACAAATGGTTGGTTTCGCTACAGCAACTACACTTTGGAGAACACTCAAGCAATTGTATGTATTGAAATCACACATGAGAGTAATGCAACTACACTTTGAGCTTTAAAATCTTCAAAAATGTATGTTCAACATGGATGATTATCTTCAAAAGGAAAAATTACTTGCTAATAACTTATCTACAATTGGATCACCCATCACTCATCATGATTTAAATTTGAGAATATTAATGAGCTTAGGCCCAGACTATGAGGCTTTTGTGACCTCTATTAGCACCATATCTAATGAATTCTCTATTGAAGAATTAGAAAGGATGTTGGTGAACCATGAACTTCGTTTGGAGTATTATAGAACTGTCTTTGCTACAAATATGGCTACAAGAGGTTAGCAATACAAAAGCAATAAAAACCCATCATCTTGTGAAGATAAATTAGACTATCCATCTCAATGCCAAGGATAGGGCAATGGTAGCCAATCACAATAACAAAATAACAACCAACAATCCATTGGGCCTTACTAGATCTATAAGAAGAAAAGCAATATGGTTGTAAAATGTTATTATAGATATGAGAAGAAGAAGAATAATAACAGTAAAGCTAGCTATATTACCTCCTCATCCCCTCTAGTGAGTGATGCTGCATGGTACCCAACTCCAGTGCCACAAATTATATTACTTTAGACCTCAACAACCAAAATCTACATTTAGAATATTTGAGTACAAATCATATTTGGATTAGCAATGGGGCAGGCTTGCCTATACCCCACTATGGTTCTTTTACTTTGCAATCATTATTATGCTTTCTTGTTTTGAAATATATATTACATGTTCCTTCTATTACTAAAAATTTATTCTAAGTGGGCTAATTTTGTTCGGATAATGATGTATACTTTGAATTCTATGCTGATCATTTCGTTGTAAAGGATTGCCAATCCAGGAAGATACTTTTGCACAGGGTGAATAAAGGTGAATTTTATTAGCTTAGTCTAGGTGGGCTTCCTCAATTTAGTACTAGTCTTGCACTTGTTAGAAAACATTGTTCAATAGATATGTGGCACCACCGACTAGGCCATCTATGTCCTCGCATTGTACAGTATGTTCTCTCGTCTAATAAGTTACCTCTTTCTTCAAATAAATCATTGAGTTTTTGTTCCTCTTGCCAACTTGGCAAAAGTCATAAATTGTCATTTTCTTATAGAAGTTCTACTAACTCTTGCCTACTAGAATTAATATTTGTTGATTTATGGGAACC